TGATCCCAGCTGTATTTAAAATATACACAGAAAAAAGTGCTGATATTTCTTTAGGTAGCAGGCTCAGTTCAGGTAGTTTTCTTCATATCTGCACTCCCCGAAAATCTAGATAGTATACATGTGTCAATTTTACATATCCAGGAAGTCTTAGCTCCTTTTTGAGGTGTCATATTAAAGATATGACAAAAAAAAAAAAACGAACACATCATACCTTCGCATTTGTCACAAATCACATTCTTTTGAAGAGCCAGTTTTCTTGTCGCACCATTATATAAGTCTTCTAGGGTTACTGAGAGCTGATGTACAACATTTTTACCTAAAACAAAATATTTCTCATTACACATCTGTTTAAGATGCTGGATATTATTTATTTGTGCCAAAGGCACTATAAAGAATGGGTCAAAGGATGATAAAAGATCAGCCTCACAGGGTCCATCTGTTGACTACCTACTACATACACAGAATGTTCACATTATCACAGATGATCCTCAAATGTGATGTAATCACAGATGAGGAAAATCAGGTCAGAGATTAAGTATCTGCCTAAGGGCACAGACATGGCCATCTTGGAAATATGGTAAGCAAAACATTACCTTCAAAGTCACTTGAGAAAAACCAATGTTATTTAAAAGGGCACATTTCACAATAATCCAAACATTCATTTCTGTCACTATATATTCTTTGAAACTTTCACTTAGTACCGTATTAAGCAACATGGCCAAAAATTCTTTAGCACAGTAAGTTCTCATTAAGACTGGCCAGGGAAGCTGATGTATTTATTGAGCCACCACAGAAGAGTATCAATTTCTACTTCTTCCTGATTTAGTAGAAAACAGTCCATTTACTGCTAGGCCAGCACTGGTTGTTCTAAAGGCCAAATTTCTCATACCTTTTTATAATAGCATTGTCCAACAGAACCTTCTACAGTGATAAAAATGTTTTATATCTGTTCTGTCCAACATAGCAGCCACCAATCACATGCACTTATTGAGCACGTAAATGTGGCTGTTTAGACTAAGAAACTATTTTTGTTTTTGTCTTAATGAAGCCACACATGGCCAATGGCTACTAAGGAGTGCCTTACTTCACTTAAATCAGAATGGGAAGTGGAAGGTTGAGATCACATAAGGACACTAAGGCTACAACTGCTAATAAATTAGAAGTTCCGCCGGGCACGGTGGCTCAAGCCTTAATCCCAGCACTTTGGGAGGCCGAGGCGGGTGGATCACGAGGTCAAGAGATCGAGACCATCCTGGTCAACACGGAGAAACCCCGTCTCTACTAAAACTACAAAACATTAGCTGGGCATGGTGGCGCGTGCCTGTAATCCCAGCTACTCAGGAGGCTGAGGCAGGAGAATTGCCTGAACCCAGGAGGCGGAGGTTGCCATGAGCCAAGATCGCGCCATTGCACTCCAGCCTGGGTAACAAGAGCGAAACTCCGTTCCACAGGGACTTATTTGCAACAATATTACTGCCTTTCCCCCCCTAATGAAAAAAGTTCTCCAACTCCTTTCTGTACAACATGCCTAATGAACATTTTAACTTTCTAATCAAGCATGAAATACCATTAATTATGTCCTCCTGCTTATAGCTCCACCTTTAGTTCTGGCATGCTAAAATTTAGCTGCCCTTATTTTGTATAGTGTTGAGAGTATACGGAAGGAAAAATAAAGCTTCTAGAGCTTGATGAAGCACATTTCCCCCAAAATAACCTCTCAATATGATCTAAAGCCACACAAAAGAGCTTGCCAATGTTAACTTGCAGGTCAGTTCCTTGTAAGGTAAGTGGAAAACCACCACCACTTTTTTGTGAATAAATTCTAATGATTTACACTAAGCAAGTGATTTAGATTGTGGACTTTTTAAGGAGTTTAAATATCTTAAAAATAACAACAGAGGCTGGGCGCGGTGGTTCACGCCTGTAATCACACCACTTTGGGAGGCCGAGGTGGGTCTATCACGAAGTCAAGAGATTGAGACCATCGTGGCCAACAAGGTGAAACCCCGTCTCTATAAAAACAACAACAAAACAAAAACAGAATCCTTTCTTGAAGATCTTTAAAGAAGAACCGAATAAACAGTTTCCCAAATCTTTCCGAACCTTAAGCTCAAAGTGAAACTTAATAGCTTGCCCATTCATTCTAAAACTGGGTCTGCTCATCAGCCCTAGTTTGTATACGCTACACTGGGAATAAAGTGAGACCAATTTCTCTTGAACACTTTATTCCTACCTATGAGCAGTATTTCTAGAGCCCATAGGCCACTTTCCTGATAAATATATTAAATACATATATTTTGACACAATAAAGCTGAAGCAAGATTAGATAGGTGGCAGGCAATGAACCAGTTTTCAGCCCTGTTCTGTTGGCTTGCCATATGAGCTTGAAGAAGTTTTACGTTTCTGAACTTTAACTCACTTTCATTTGAAAAAGATCACTGTATCTACCATCAAATTCCTTTGGGGCATGATGGAACATCAAATAAGATCTGGAAAAAGGGCTTTGAAAATTATATTGCTATACTGTTCTCATAATTTGTTTTTTTTTTTTTTGAGATAGACTCTGTGCTGCCCAGGCTGGAGTGCAATGATACAATCCCAGCACACTGCAACCTCTGCCTCACAGGTTCAAGTGATTCTCCTGCCTCAGCCTCCCAAGTAATTGGGATCACAGACCCATGCCATGACGCTCGGCTAATTTTTGTAATTTTTTTCTGAGACAGTTTCACTCTTGTTGTGCAGGCTAGAGTGCAGTGGCACAATCTTGGCTCATTTCAACCTCTACCTCCTGGGTTCAAGAGATTCTCCTGTCTCAGCCTCCCAAGTAGCTGGGATTACAGGTGCCTGCTTAATTTTGTATTTTTAGTAGAGATGGGATTTCACCATGTTGGTCAGGCTGGTCTCGAACCCCTGACCTCAGGTGATCCACCCACCTCAGCCTCCCAAAGTTCTGAGATTACAGGCGTAAGCCACAGCACCCAGCCATTAATTATTGTATTTTTAGTAGAGATAGGTTTTCAACACCTTGGCCAGGCTGCTCTCAAACTCCTGACCTCAGGTGATTCACCTGCCTCTGCCTCCCAAAATGCTAGGATTACAGGTGTGAGCCACCGTGCCCGGCCTGTTCTAATAATTTATGTTTGATAATATCTAAGATTTTTGGAAGCAGTCATTTGCTACCACTCGATTGGCTATTTTTTGTATCCCTTAAATCTCATTTTTAAAAAAAGACACCATAAATCAGAGGCAGCTTATGGTCAGTTTGCAACACTACACCATATAAACAAGCATTTTAAATGGGTGATTTCTCAAAGATCTGCTGTGACCAACAGCTACTTTTAATTAGCTGCATAAGGACTAGATTCTTCTTACCTCTCCTTTCTCTCTGCATCCTTCCTCCTCCTCCAAAAAACATATCAAAGATGTCCATGGGGGAGCCAAAACCGCCACCTGCTCCACCCTCTTTAATTGCCTGCTCTCCTCCTTTGTCATATAATTCCCTTTTCTTTGCATCAGAGAGAACTTCGTAAGCTTGAGAAATCTGTTTAAACTGTTTGAGAAAAGAGGAGTGAATTTCATTTAAAAAAAAAAGAGTTACCTAGCCACTATATTACACTTGATCTTAGCTAAAAGGCAGAGAAGCAATCATAGTTACTATTAGACACCCAATTTCGGGCCATAATAGAAATACTACACATCTGACAAGGAACTATCCAGATATGTTTAAGAGTATGTACTACTTGCCTTCTCTCCTTCATTTGGATTCTTATCAGGATGGTACTTCAAGGCCAGTTTCCTATAAGCCTTTTTCAACTCTTCTTGAGTAGCATTGGGTTTGACTCCCAAAACATCGTAGTAAGTGGTTTCTTTCACCATCTTCTACTGCCTGAAATAAGAAAATGCAACTTTAACTTGCAGTTTTAATTAGTAAAAATGAGAGCTAAGGCCGAGCAATGTGCTCTTTGCCAAATCCGATTATAAGAACACCCCCTTCCCTAAATTTCACCAAAAAGGTAACAATTCTTGCCATTCAGCTATAAATTTGAACAGACAAAACAAACTAATAATCATTATCAGAAAATAATTAAAGAGCCATGTTCTAGCAGTTGGTTCCCACTCTCCCACACCAAAGCTTCCATACTAATATAACACAACTATTATCTGGATTCTTCCCGTTTGCCCTAGAGTTGGTGACAGCTGTAACCAAAAAGGAGCACTAATAGGTTCAGTCTATTGGTCATTACACTATCACCGTCTTTGGTAAATCTGATAAACTCCATATACTCCCCAGAAAAAGACAACTATCTGGGCACACAGGGGTGGGGGGAGTGGTTTATAAAACCGGTTACCTGCTCCACACAGCAAGCCCTCTACCGCCCACGGCTTACAGCTTCTCCATGTTCACGGCCGAACCCCTCTCGCCACTCAGGCCGACAAGAGTTTACCTACCGCTTTCCCCCTGCACTTGGCGCCGACCGTTAAGGTTTCCTTCCTTTCTCCCTCCCACCCCGGATCCAAGTGGCGGAGGGGAAAGCCCAGCCCTCAACAAAGGGAGGGGAGACAGGAAAAGCGAAAGCCGCAGCCTCCGCCCGGCTCCCCCCGCAGCCCCTCGCCCCTGCCTCCCAGTGCGCGTGCGCAGGGTCGTCAACCACCCACCCCCCCACACCCAGCGAGCGCGGACGGGGAGGGGGGCCGCGGGAGCGCGCACGGAGGGGCAGCCCAAGGCAGCAGCTCCTTCGAGATCCCAGGTTGGGTAGGGAAGGAGGTCTAGGAAAGGCCTTGGACTCATTAACTGTGGGTGCCGGGGATGGGTTGCCGGGGCACACCAGCCCTCCAAAAGGGAAATCGTGGGGCCAGGAACCGATAACGCTCCTGCCCACGCGGCCAACGGCCTCTCGACCGCGGCTCCATCCGGTTTCCTGGCGCCAATGGCGCCAGCCAAGGGACTGGGGAAAGTGCGAGGGCTCAAACTCACCGGTGAGCAGGCTGAGGTCGGTGTGTGAGAGAGCGGGAAGGAGCGCAGAGCTGTGCGCAGCTCGGATAGCTACCGCTCCTCCGCCTCTCACCGAGCGTTCTGGAAAGTTCCTCCCGGCGCGCCGCAGCCGTCGTCTTTTGTAGCCGAACCCTGGCGCGTCACCCGCCGGAAGTCCCTCCCTTCTCGGCCGCTGCCACCGCCCCACGGTTACCTGGGCAACGGCGCGGGGGCGAACGGGTCGGGAGGAGCTGTGCCGAAAGGCCTTGTGGGGGGTGGGTGCTAGCCCGGCTTCCCGACGGTCGTGGAATCTTCTGGAGCCCTTTCCTCCACTCAGCGAGCTGGAGAGTGCGGAAGCCTCCGGCTTTTGGGCCATGGCCCAGGAGCAGTGCAAGTCCTAGAGTTTTCAAATTAGTGGGGCGGCCGCCTCCGCCCGCGAGGGCGGGAAGGGCTCGGGTACAGTGACCCATCGGGAGTTTTATGTGATTGGGGAAGCTCTTGGAACAAAGTCTTGCCCCGCTCCCACCCTTCTACTGGCGCCTTTTTCTCTTTCAGGGAACCCGCTGAGCAAGAAATGCTGAGCCAGGTGGGTCTATTCCCCAGACCAATAGCATAGGCCTTGGGTCTTGCTGTTTTTCACGCGCGGTCCAAGACGGCGTAATTCACCAAATTGCCAAATTAGGGCTTTTTGTGCAAGTCCAGGTTCCCAGACACACGTTATCTGCCCTGGACCGCGCTGACTCCTGCAGATTGAGCGCAGAGAGTCTGGGACTGAGCTGAGCAGTGGAACACCACCTTTGATGCACAGAGGGCCGTGGACTCCACTGGTCAGGCTTTCACCCTTTCACTCAGGCTACAGAGTAGCACCAAGATGGCTAAAACAATTTAGTTATTTGACCTAGCTCACATTCCAGGGGTCAGTGAACCTGGATGTACAATCTGCAACGTGAGCCTTTGGACTTTAAAATGCTACCACGGGTGCTCAATGGGAATTGGGGCCCGCCTTTTTATCTAGGAACACAACAGATACATCAGTATCTAGCACCAAGAATGGTGGAGTTTGCCAGGCGCAGTGGCTCACGCGTGTAAGCCCAGCACTTTGGGAGGTGGAGGTGGGCTGATAGCTTGAACTCACAAGTTTGAGAAGGCTGGAGCAGCAAAACACCGTCTCTATTTAAAACAAAAACAAAACTGGAGATGCAGAGTTGAAAAGCCCCAGTTAGATTTCAGTGAGAAGCCAAACAAGTCAACAAAACTACCAGGGAAGCCATAAGTTGGAAGTCAGCAGGGGAGAGGCTGCTATATCTTCCTGATCAGGGAGAGTTTCCGTGGGAAAATGGCAATTGTGCTGAGTTTTGAAAATTGGAGAAGAGACATGGACAAAGCACGGGGGAAGGCTAGACTATGGTGTGGAATATGTTGTTTTTAGGAAATTGTAACTAACTGGATATAGCCAGAGCTAAGGGAGCTAGAATGGCCGTAGTGAGGCTTCAAAGCTAGTTAGGGCATGCATGCCTTTGTTGGTATATATGCTACGCCAAGGATTTTGAACTTCATTCTCGGAAGCATCCTCGTGCTACCTCTTCAGCCTTTTGTCTTTCATTAATTTTGACTGCATTCCGGTCACAGAACTATCTGCCGTTTCCCTTATGCACCTTTTCACTTTTGTGTGCTTTTGCCTTGGCTAACAGATGCCTGATTTTTTTCAGTCTTAGGTGTTGCCTTCTTAAGTATCACCTTTGGTATAACTTTTTTCGTTTATACCAACACTTAGTAAACGTCTAATATTGCCAGGCAGTGTACTAGGGCTTTGTAATTCAAAAATCACGTAAGTCAGGCTGGGCTCGGTGGCTCACGCTTGTAATCCCAGTACTTTGGGAGGCCGAGGTGGATGGATCATCTGAGGTCAGGAGTTCTAGACCAGCCTAACCAACATGGCGAAACACCATCTCTACTAAAAATACAAAAAATTAGCCAGATACGGTGGGACGTCCCTGTAGTCCCAGCTACTCGGGAGGCTGTGGCAGGAGAATTGCTTGAACCTGGGAGGCGGAGGTTGTCATGAGCCAAGATCGCAGCATTGCACTCCAGCCTGGGCGACAACCAGACTCTGTTGAGTCTCAAAAAAAAAAAAAAAAAAAAAAAAAGTGAGTCATGACCCTGCCTTCAAGGAGCTCACAGCATAAGGAACCAGAAACATAACCAGTCGAGTGATAAATGCTAATAAAGGAAGAGTAGGGGGTGCTGAGTAGAGGAACCTTGCAACATCCAGATGAGTATCACAGGCAGAGAGATTGGTAAGTGTGAAAGCATGAACTGTTAATGGAGAACAATAAACAATAACTACATAAATATCATTCATGAGTTGTAGTCCTGAAATTCCTATTTTACTGTAACATAGACCGTGCCTTTGTGAATCTAATGTTGGTTAAGCATGGTATCAAATCACTTTAACCAAGAGTTTCAACAGTTAATGTTACCCTGTCTACCGTGTTTAGTATTTCTGCACCAGGAACCCAATTGAAATTCCCACAACTTTGAGAAAGCTGCAAATGTGTTACGAGCATGAAAATACCTCCTTGAGACCACCAACTTGATTGTGAAATCTGATGCCGAACATACTTTTAAAGTCTATAAGCTCATGTATTAAGTGAGCTAAATTCTTTTTGTTGTTGTTTTAGATGGAGTTTTCCTCTTGTTGCCCAGGCTGGAGTGCAATGGCGCTGTCTTGGCTCACCGCAACCTCTGCCTCCCGGGTTCAAGCGATCTTCCCAAGTAGCTGGGATTACAGGCATGCGCCACCACTCCCGGCTAATTTTGTATTTTTAGTAGAGATGGGGTTTCCCCATGTTGGTCAGGCTAGTCTCAAACTTCTGACCTCAGGTGGTCCTCTCACCTCGGCCTCCAAAAGTGCTGGGATACAGGCGTGAGCTACCGCGCCCGGCCCTAAATTATTTAAAATTTTTTTTTTGTAATTAGGCGGGGAGTAGTGGCTCCCATCTGTAATCCCAGCACTTTGGGAGGCTGAGGAGGACAGATCGCTTGAGCTGAGGATTTCGAGACCAGCCTGGGCAACATTGTGAAACCCCGTCTCTATAAAAAATACAAAAACTAGCATCTTGAATGTGGCAGTGCACAGTAGTAGCCTGTAATGTCAGCTTCTCTGGAGCCTGAGGTGGGAGGATGGCTTGAGCTGGGGAGGTGGAGGTTGCAGTGAGCTGAGATTGCACCACTGCACTCCAGCCTGGGCAACAGACCTTGTCTGCAAAAACAGAAAACAAAAAACAAAACAAAAAATTTTTTTAAGTAGCGATGAGGTCTTCCTATGTTGCCTGGTGTGACTGTTCTCAAACTCCTGTGCTCAGGTGGTCCTCCAGTCTTGGCCTCCCAAAGTGCTGGAATTTCAGTCATTAGCCATGCCCAGCTGAAATTCTTTTTTTTTTTCTTTTTGCATTTTAGTTTGGGAGAAATTATTAATAAAACAAGGGCCATAAAAGTTGGTTTTAAAAAAAGAAAAAGTATATATTTGCTTGTAAATGTGTAATATGGTTGGGTTGCCTGTGGGGAGAGGGAAGTGCTGGGTAGAAGTGGATGGGAGGAGGGATTTCATAATACAAGCTTCTGTAACTTCTAAAATTTTAACTTCTGAATGTAGTATTTAACTCAAATAATTAAACTTAAGATACAGAATTCTCTCCTCTTTATTCAAGCTTTGAACTAGTAACTTGTCATTCCTAACAGCAAAGTTAGGTGATTCTTAGTTGCCTTAAAAATTATCATTACAGGCCCAGGCCTGGTGGGTCATGCCTCTAATCTCAGGACTTTGGAGGCTGAGGCAGGTGGATCCCTTGAGCCCAGGAGTTTGAGACCAGCCTGGGTAATAAGGCAAAACCCGTCTCTACAAAAAATACAAAAATTAGCTGGATGTGGTGGTACAAGCCCATAGTCCCAGCTACTCAGGAGGCTGATGTAGGAGGATTGCTTGAGCTGGGGAGGTGGAGGTTGCAGTGAGATCATGCTACTGCACTCCAGTCTGGGCAACAGAGCCAGTGAGAATCCGTCCAAAAACAAAAACACACCAAAAAACCAGGAAACATAATTACTTTAAGGATCTTGCAATAAAAAAGAAAAATCATCATTACATATCTTCTGTTTGACACTTTTTTCTTTGTAGAAACCTATTTCAGTGATGTTAAAAATATGTCCTAATGAATATTCTGGCTGGAAAGTAATTGAAGTTAACAATTTTGGCAGGACATGATGGCTCAAGCCTGTAATCCCAGCACTTTGGATGGCCTAGGTAGGTGGATCCCTTGAGTCCTGGAAGTTGAGACCAGCTAGGGCAGCATAGTGAGGCCTCGACTCTACAAAAAATTAAAGAGTTAGTGTGGTGGTGTGGGCCTGTAGTCATAGCTACTTGAGAGGCTGAGGCAAGAGGTGGACCTGGGAGGTCAAGGCTGCAGTGAGTGGTGATTGCATCTCAGCCTAGGTGATGGATCATGACCCTGACTAAAAATGAAACTAACAAAGAATTTAACAGTTTTAAGAAGCATTCTTACGTAAAAAAACAAAAACAAAAAACTAGCAAGAACTTTGTCTGTGATCTTCATTTGTATAGAAATGGGATCATTATACAAACTGTTTACAACTTGCCCTTTTCACTTTGTCATCTTACTATGTCATGATAAATATTAATGTACTTAGCAGGCACCATAATTTATTCCCCTATTGATGAACATTTCAGCAATTTCCAATGTTTTACAAACCGCTGAAGAGAAATTAGCAGTTAAAGCTTTGAGTACTCATGAAAGTATTTCTGTTGGATGTACAGCTAGAATTGAAATTGCTGAGTCAACATGAATGCAGATTTAGAATTGTAATGAATAAGTTTCCATATTGGTTTGTAACTGCTTCCAGCAGTGTGTGAGTGGGCCTTGCCAATATGAGGGATTCTGTCTTTTGTTGTTAAATCTTTGCTAAGCTTGGAGATAAAAAGTGATACCTTATTGTTTCAAGCTTCTTAATTAATAAGTTTAACCATGTTTTAAATGTTTACTGACTCTCCTGTCACCTGTTCATATTATTTTACTATTTTTCTATGGTATAATTCCACTATTTTAATAATAGCACTTTTAGGGATAGATACTAGTCTGTCATGTGTTACTATTATTGTCTTTAGTATATTGTTAGCTTTTTACTTAGTACCTATATGTGTATTTTTGGCCATATAAAGATTTTAATTTTTATGTAGCTAAATTTTGACTCTTCCTTTGTGGCTTTTTTCTTCTCTCCATCTTTCCCCTCTCCCTTCTCCTTCACCAGTTCAGCATTATCAATATAAATCTGTTGTCCCAGGTTTACAGGTTTATGTCTAGTTCTTTCATTGTTTCTTTTTTTCTTTTTAAACAGTCTTGGCCAGGTGTGGTGGCTCATGCCTGTAATCCTAGCACTTTGGGAGGCTGAGGCAGGTAGATCACGAGGTCAGGAGTTGAAGGCCAGCCTGACCGATATGGTGAAACCTCATCTCTAGTAAAAATACAACAATTAGCTGGGTGTGGTGGCACATGCCTGTAATCCCAGCCACTCAGGAGGCTGAGGCAGGAGAATCGCTTGAGCCCAGGAGGTGGAGGTTGCAGTGAGCCAAGATCACGCCACTGCACTTCAGACTGGGCAACAGAGCGAGACTCCGTCTCAAAAACAAAAACAAACGTAACAGCCTTGTTATATTGCCCAGGCTGGCCTCGAACTCCTAGGCTCAAGTGATTCTCCTGCCTAAGGCTCTTCAGTAACTGGGACTACAGACACCTGCCACTGCATCTGGAATCATTGTTCCATTTTAAACTTAAATTTTTTATTCAATCTGGAAGTTATTTTGGTGTAAGGACTGAGGATTATTTGTAAGTAACTGATCTTTATTTTTCTCCAAGTGGCAAGCTAGTTTATCTAGCACTAATCTTATTTTTCCTGAGTAATGCAAAATGTGCCCCCCAACCTTTTTTTTTTTTTGTAGAGAAAGGGTCTTCCTATGTTGCCCAGGTTGGTCTCGAATTCCTGGGCTCATGCAATCCTCTTGCCTTGGCATCCCAAAGTGTTGGTATTACAGGCGTGAGCCATGACACCTGGCCAATACT